AGCTCAGAGAACAAAACTCCATAAAAAACATTGCTTGCATTTCTCTCTGTATGTTAATAGATCTCCATTAGACTTAGGCTCATAATCGACATGATACTCTCTCTGAAGGAGGAAGCCAATTACTCAAAAAGTTATAAATCACTATAACAACAAAGTCAGTGAGAATAGGGATATCAATCAAAATAGAAATAATTTAATGATGAGGGAAATAGAAGAAGAAACAAGGTTATCCTAGAGAAGTAATTAGGCGCTCATTATGAATGTCTAAATTAATACTTACTTTCCGACTACTGGTCTGAGCTATATCATTAGGTGTAGACTACTCGGTTAGTTAGGTTTGTAATGAATCAGTCACAATGGTCAGTTTATGTTGATTCATTATCTTTGTTCAAATCTTCAATTATGTATTACTCTTAACTTCTTATACTTCGTTTCCATTTATACAATCTAAATTATACTTCACACAAGTATCATACATAAGGTTTAACTTGATAATTTCATATAAACTAACTTACTTGTTTGAACAGTGTCAATGCAACTCCTTGTGTATGTGGGGCATCTTCTTCATCATGGCCGGAGTATAACAGAAGCTATCCTGAAGCTAGTCGTTGTTGTCTATCTTGAGTCCGACGTGTTTCACTGATCCCAAGCACCTCTGGGTTGTATCTCCTCATTTCTGCAGCAATTTGAAAGACTCTCCCGGTCTCCCATATTGTACGAACATTCCATGTACCTAAATAAATGGTTGCTCTGGTTGTCAGAAGGGGCATCAGCCTCGTGACTTCCGAAGGAACTCGGCTTTCATAAGGAGGCGTCATAACTCTTCTAAATGAAGGCCTTCTGACTCCCAGGGCAGAGTTTAAAAGGTTTGAATAATTTTTTCTGGTTAGCGTTTTTTAGCGAGTTAGTTTTCTACGGGATGGGGACGCTAACCCCATGCCCAACCCTCCTCCTTTATCTGGGCTTAGGACCGGCAGTAGCCCCCGGAGGGACTCCAGGAGGAGTTCATATAAACTAAGCATTAGATCAATTATTAATGATAACAATAATATACATGTAGTGATGAAATGAGTAGAAAACTTTTGTTTGTTTATTTATTCACTGAACAACTGGCTTAAATTGGAATCATAAAGTGTGATAAGTCTTGCTAATTGAATGCAGGATTCAGTTTCCGCAACTCTTCTAGTAGCCCCCAGGCTAAATCTACACAGCAACTTGAACGCGAGAGAAAAGATGAGGAATATGGAACAAACGCTTCACTCTAAAGGTTCGTTTATGTACAGAAAATCTAGGGTTTTTATATTAATTTAGATGGCCTTGGGTTTCAGGAACGCTACTAAACATGGTAGCAATATAGGTAATCATCCAACCAAAAACTCGACATGTGATTTTTCACTTTTTAGATGTTTCTGGTAAAACTTCTTTCGAATGCTGATTAGATAAGATGCTTTTCAGCATTCCCTGATCCTTTTTCGAGTTTTATGGACCTCCCCAATATAGAGTACATTGTATAGTAAATTTCCCATGTCCAACTTTTCACTTTAGTTGATATAATTCTATCATTTAATTGTTTTTCTGTGTAATAAGAAAGATAATCTGATTTAGTTACTTATGTATGTTACGCCTCGTGTAGCATAGGGCGTCGACTAGGATTCTCCAGTCGACTCTATTCTGGTTTCTCCTTTCAATTTGGTTCCAAGTTTTGTGAATCCTTTAAATGTCTGCTCCCAATTTTCGGAGTAATGTGTTCCTTGGTCTGCTTCTGTTAATTTTGCTTAAGAATTTGAAGTTAGAACTTAGTCTGTGATGCAGTTTGATGATTTCCACCATGTGTCCTTTACACCTACAGAATCATAATTTCCCCTTCATTTGGAAGTTGGTTTGTCTTCAGCCACAATAGGTTATTGATGGTATCTACTGTAGACGATTGTTTATAAAACTTGTATATCTTTGAGTCTGGTTGTAATAGTTGTTCAAGACTCAGTTCCATAAAACCTGACTGTCTTTACGTTTGTATTGGAAATCCTGACTTCGGTATTGACTGACACACAGTTGTTTTGAGTTCCAAATGTTCTTCAGTTATAAAAATGCCGTCCTAGCTTTGCCAGTCATTGCCTTCATACTTGTATCAGATTCCTCATGGTTATAAATGATACTGCCCAGGTACATGAAAGTTTCCACATCTTCTAGAGTTCCCCCATCAAGTGTGATTGCGTTGGTGTTCTCCGTGTTGTATTTGAGTATTCCTTTGTGTATAATGAAACCTACTGATACAGAGGCTTCCGCTACACTGGCTGTCTTCATTTGCATTTGCTGATTTGTAAAGGATAGAATAGCTAAGTCATCCACGAAATCCAAATATTCTAACTGATTCCCAGCTGTCCATTGTATTCCGTGATTCTCGTCAGATGTCAAGGCCTTCATAATTCAGTCGACCACCGGAAGAATTGGTAAGCAACCTTGTCCAACACTGATCTTCACTTGGAATCCACATGTGAGATACCCTCCATACACTTACTTTAGAATAAACTGAAAATACGTCGATTTTTTATGCCGATGACTGAACACATTATTTCACATCAAAATTAATCCCAGGGATTGAGAGTTTTACGATGAGCACAATGCAAACAAACCATTTAGATACAATACAACAGTTTGCTTTCTTCACTTAAGATATTGTATGACTGAAATTCATTGTATATACTATTCTCTATTGGAATGATTATTAATCAGTACCCTTGACTACTGTAAACTGTTAGAAATAATACAAATTTCATCACACTTCAAGAGAATGTAAATACTCAAAGTCCCACATAAACGTGATTGAATCACACTACTTACTATTACAAAGTAGTTTGAATTATACTTTGTCGTTTATGCCATTCCCGTCATATTTCTTTTTTGAACTTGCCTCCTCGTGGTATTTGTTTAAGCACCACTTTATTTCAGAGTTCTGATTCATTCGTATCCTTCTTATATTATTGTGTCTCTTCTGTGTATGAAGTTATTTGAAACTTCGTCCATAAAGGGGAATTCAGTGTTTTCTTTGTTTCTATTAACGTATGATATATCTTGCTTAACATAGTCGTGTGTTATTTCTCTACCCCCAGTAGATCGCAACATCTTCGTAATGCCCTTAGTTGAAAATCAAACAGAATTTCCTTTCAATCATGCTTAGTTACTGCATGATTTGGACGTTGATCATCAATGTCATATTTCTAGAAAAACTTTGGTATGTTAACATTCCCACAATTTACTTGGATCTTAAAACGAGCAAAACCACTAGATTAAGCAACTGTTTGTGAATATATATTTTACTAACGACCTTTAAGTTACCTTGGAAAGAGATTCGGTTACCACTCAGTCCAGATGGAGGTGATACAAATGAATAATTTAATGCATAAAAACCGAAAACGTTACTGTTAAGATCAGATGTGTTTAGAATGGGAGGATGATTTCTAACCACATTTGTGAATACTTAACCAAATAATTTTCTGGATTCAAACCACAAAAATTTGTAGATTATCCTTAAAATGTGTCGATACATTTTTGTTTTATTATTTTCCACTACATATTAATCATTTACTTAAGAGTTGTTGATGTTTAACCCTTCTCTTGTCTTGTTAAGAATTGATACGCGTACTATCATAGTAACCACCACAGTTTAGGTTACATTTATCACTTACTTAACTCTTAATAATATACAGACTAATGGTTATTGAGTTCTGAATTTCAAGCGAAATCTATCATAATTAATAAGAGTCAGTCAGTCAGTCATCTGCAACGTAGGACTAGGCGCATATATGCATCGGTCCAAGTTATCACACCTCATTACAATAAAAAGATGAACACAAAATTTACAGTATTTACTTCAATAGTAGTAATATATAAAAGATTGTGTATGAGGATATAGCACAGGAAGAAAGATTTAGTACGTAGAAAGAAAGAAATGAAGCGATTTTAATCTCTTAGTTTAAGGGAAAACAGAGAGGGTATACACCCACGCGATTGTGATCAATTATGAGTCACGTCACAGTCTCCAACCATTGGTTAAAAATAGTCGCGCGGACCCTAACCAAGTATTCTGCATCTACCAACATGGCTCAGACTAGAAGTTAGTGACTTCAAGCACTGATGCTACGTTTTGGTTTGGCCACCCCTAACTTTCTTCCAACCATCTCCAACACCGGTTAGCATTGTACGTCGTAGAAATCGGTGTTCGGGCATACGTAACACGTGGTCCAACCATCTCAGTCGACGAAGATTCATAACCTCATCAACTGATTTACCATCATTCCCTAATACCCTGCGTCTAACCTCAGTATTACTTACCCGGTGATCCCATCAGATGCGAGCAATATTTCTAAGGCATCTGTGGTCAAATACTAGTGGCTCACGAGTGTCTTCTACTCTTAATGGCCATGTTTCGCTGCCGTAAATTAAAACAGAACGGACTGCCGCGCAGTATACTCGTCCTTTTATTGATAGACGGATATCTCGCCTTCGCCATAGATGACGTAACTTGGCAAAAGCCAAACGAGCTTTTCGAATCCGTGCATAAATTTCACCAAACACCAACTCATTAGGGCTGATCAGACTTCCGAGATAAGTGAGGTTGTCAATGCGTTCGACTACTTCACTCCCTATTCTTAGTTCAGATGTTGACATAGATCAAATAATTAATAAAAACCACAAAATAAGTTTGTTTATAGTTTATTTCAAATTTGATGTTTGAAGACAACGGAAATATACATCTGTAGGATATTTTATTTATAAGTAACAACAGACTGGAAATTATTCACATAATAGTAATAGTAATAAAAGGAAGAAATGTAAGAGTAAAATAAAGAATGGAGAGATTGAAATATATTCTCCAAAATACAAATCAAACTAATAAGTATCCGAATCAAAGAGAACAAACCATTCAAACAGCTAGTATATATGTATATATATCTTTTCCCCCAACAAATGTTGACCATATTAAAACAAAATTATTTAAATTATGAACATAAACCATTTGGATTGAAGTCAGATGATGATGAAGTTGGTTTTTCAGAATTTTCAGGATTTGTATCTTTATTGTTTTTCTTTTTTCGAAAGCATCGTTTTGTATGTCCTCGACAATGTTCTGTACAATGTGTATTTTTATGTGTGCTTTGTTTATTTATATCATTGTTATTATCAGACGAATGATCAGAATAATCTGATGATGAACTAGATGATTCATTCCATTTTCTTGGTTTTTCATAAATGCAACAACAATTCGACTTTTTTTTACCCAAAAATTCATTATCTACTGTACCTTCAGCCCATCGGATTGCTGGACCATGACTAGAAGAAGGTAGATTATTTTCATTATCAACTGTTAGAGTATTGCTAGTTCCTCGTATTAATAGAGGCTGTTAAAATGAAAATGAAATCAACAAGAATCGGTCAACAAGTAAATTAGTCACAATAGTATTTTTTTTAGAAACAGTCAACTTTAAAAATTACCATTCCATATGTGACACGTTATCGTCATTTGTTCTAAAGCAAATATTTAGCGTCGACTGAGTAGTATGACAACCTTAAACAAAGTGACTCAGTGGGAAAGATTCGTTCTGCTGAAATCTAAGTGTTTTTAATCAAACACATATAAATACAAAGAGTTTTTATCTTGATGATGTCACAGTGTTTCTTACTTGTCAGGAAAGTCCAGTATTTTCATTTATTTTCAGCTTATTATATTTAAAAATTGTATGTCCAAGTGTTTCCATTAATTTTTACTGACATAATAGCTCCCAAATGCCCTGGTACGGTTGAGAATGGGGAGAGTTAGCTCTCTCTCTCTCGAAATGCTCTCCCATGGACACACATATAAAGCCATTGTCAGGGAAGTCTTACTCACTATCCTCTAGCAGTAGGGGTGTTGTTTATGGAACTGAGAGGATGAAAAGCAAATATCCGTCGCTCTAGCCGGGTTGGTGGATAGAGAGAATCCACCTAGGGGATTTGGAAAACCGTGATTCCAAACCAATGGTGCACATGGGCTCCAGGATGCTGAAGAAAGAAATGGCGTATGAACCTGTTGTTGGTCATCGGCTACCTTAAGACTGCATCTTCTTACGTTTCGACAACGCCTTGTGGATTAGACCTCTAGGTCAAAGGTCCCAGGTGTGGCCCCCGAAGAAGACCACCTGCTTCGGTCTGAGCACCCAGGCATTATCACAGCCCATACACAAATCAATTGACTTGTGTGGCGCATATGTATTTAGTACCCCTATGTGCCAATATTTATGTGTTTAAATAAATAAATAAAACGGACTTCATTACATGTTGCATTGATTTGACATCTATCAACAGAGCACTAGTCCAGTTGTAAGACATGAAAGTTAAACTGATTATCGCTGTTTCCAAAAATGATGGTATTTATAAGAACTAATAGATTGTAGTTATCTTATCAGCATCAACTAAGAAATAAGTACACTCAACAAGTTCGGTCGGCATCAACCAGTACATACTTATTGTACACTTTATGAAGCATTTCTTTATATTGGTAGTTATTCGAGATGATTTATTCTCGAAAAAAAATTATGCGACTTGTTATTTTATTGTGTTGTTTTCCTAAATTTGAGTTTCTTTTTCTACTTTGAGTGCTAACTGTAGGATTCTAGATTTTAGTTATTGTCAAAAATTCTGTTATCCTGACTCCTTATCAGTCAGTTACAACGTGAAACCTTGTACGCATGTAAATAGGTTCAGATTGCTATAACTATTACCACAGCAAGATGAAACTGACAGGCCTAATCCCAGAGTAGTAGAGGTAGTTACAGTACCAGTGGTAATAGAAAAGACTATGCATCTAAAATACAGACCAAGAAGATAAGAATTAATGAAATGAAAGTTCTGAGGAATTCAGAAGTCTAAGAATTTGGAGGAAGACAAAAAATGGATGTACCTGAGCCTTAACAAACGGTCGTGGGCCATTTCATTCAAAGTCTCTAACCACTGGTTGTAGCAGTTACACAGATCCAAACGACGTAAGTCTACACCTATTAACATGGCTCAGTCCTACTGTCAGTGACTTTCATGGACTGGGAAAATGTTTTGGTTTGGCCACACCTAGCTTCCAGTCAACGCCTACAGCAAAAAAACACTACCTATCAAGGTAGGCGGAGGTTAGGGATGCGTAACACGTGTCCCAACCACCCCAGTCAACAAGGATTCACTACCTTACCGATTGATTTACCATCTTTATTATGTATCCGATCTCTAACATAGGCAATGCTTACTCAGTGGTCCCAAAATACATGAGTAGTGCTTCAAGAACACCTATGATTGGATACAAGTAACCTACGGATATCATGTTTTTGACGGACATGTTTCGCATCCACAGAAATAGGGCATACAGTTGAATAGTGAGCTTGTCATTTGGTTGACAGACGGATATCTTACTTACGCTACAAGTGACGCAAGTTGGCAAAACTTAATCGAGCACTAGCACAGAACCCCACGATCAAGAGTTGAACGACGCCATAAGGTTAAGGAATGCAACTATAGTCAGGCGTCAAAAAGTCTGGCTATGTTACAGAACCTGCCGAAGGGTGAACATTTGGTCCATACATCTGCATCCAGGTCTGAAACCAGCCTGGTTTCCTTGTGTTTGCTATTCACTATCTCTAGTTAGGCGTCGAAGTATTATTGAGATCGATATTTTAGATACTATATTAGCTAAACTGATTTCTTTGTGATTATCACAAGAGGAATTTTTTCCTTCTTACAAGCTGAGGTGGTCGCCTAGCGAGACCAGATCTCAGATTCTAGCTAAGATCTCTTAGAATTTCAACAGGACTGTAAATGTATTTACATACAATGACCATTCTTTCAGTTCGGTTTTCTTTGATCTATTCACTTTACATTTTGATAAAGTTAATGTAACCAGAAAATATTTTTTAATGAAGGGATCGACTTGATCAATAACATTCATAGCTAATCAGTTAATCAATAAATAAAGGCAGTATATGCACGTCTGTCCAAAGTCGCTGAATCATTATTTAAAGATATCAATAAACACCTATTAGCCTCATTGAGATTACTGATAACATACAAAACAGCCAGAAATATTTAGGTCCTTCAACAAAATCTGTAGGGGCTTTCTAGTGCTCAAAACATAACTCTACAGCCAATTTATCGGACATCATGGAGTAAATAATATGTAGATGTAATTTTGGACTTTTTCTCATGTTTCCAAATCACCAGGAAACCATTCAATAGAAAATTCGAAATACATTTCCACCTGATTGACATCAGCAACTGTAGTTGGTTGTTCCTCTCTTTCTGATTCTACATTTGTTCTTAATTCCGTGGCCATGAACCCAATTAAATGCTTATCAAATTGATATGAAGGTACCAACTCCTTGTGTATGTCTGTAAGATGGAAAAATCAAGTTAGGACAGAGCAAGAACAAACAAAACTTGGAGATATTTAATAATTGGAATGGTCGATTGTTCGGAGAAATAGTACGTCTGATAATAGAAAAGTGGAAGTAGGGATTTTGAACTGATTATGTAGAGGAGTGGCATTTTAATTTGAGTTGTGACCTGGTGATGCTTGACTGAGCGCTATCAACTAGTTATGTCCATTGAGACAACGAGATCAAAATAAATATTGAGTTTCAAGGAAAAAAATCTATACTAGCGAGTCGTTTGCCACTACATATTCAAATACAATTGTCAAACTTACAAATTTGAGTTCGACAACCGAATAATTTCATTAGCCCTTATAATAAGGTATAACTTACAGTAAGTCGTACAAGATTGGAACTAGTTATTCAGTTGCATAACCGTTATTGGGATCGAACATGAACTGAATACAACGAATATCGCAGTCACACGAACATGGTGTCAAGCGGGAAGGCTCACTGTGATTCAATGACATATGTCTGGGAAGAATATTTTTACCGCTTAAGCGGCAACAACTTGCGTAGGTAAACAGCTAAGCCTAGCTTATATACGAGATTTCAGTATAAATACCACTCTCTGAGTAACTAATAACTAATTCCGGAAACTAAACTGCAAATATTAACAAACATATCCACATGCATTTGGATACGTACATTCAGTCACAATTCACACACTTCTGATTAACCATTTTACAAAACGTACGTAACTGAAGTAAAACCGACTCAAGAAAACTTTCAACTTTATAAATTGTTCCTCGGATGCCAAGCAGTCAACTTCAGACAGAGTAACGCAACATCCAAAAGAGAGTTATTAGCGAACAATATGTATATTTAAATGCAAACGACTAGTATAAACAAATTTACACTACGTACACAATAATTACAAAACTGTTTCCCGTTTTCGGCAAAACTTTACGTCCAGCCTAAAATTTTATGCAATTTTTATTCGTTTTTGTAATGAGTATATGGAAGTAATATTTCGTTTCTTCGGACTTATTTACCACACAGTGTGCTTGTGTTTACAAAGTAATTTGAAATGCTGTGTAGTATCAGTTCAAACGGCTTTGCCACCTAATTGCCGTGTACTCAACATACTTCAAGGGCAGATGTTAATTTTGTAGGGTCAATGATGTCACTAGGTCTTAACCAAGTCTTTCGAGAGGGAAGTTATTGAATGTCGTGCAGTGTACTAGTCGCCGCGGTTGTCAGATATAACTAACATTCGCTACTCAATTGTGTACTATGAATAGGCAACTGTGGTTCCATCTCTTGCTTTTGTTAACTGCAAATACTAATGTATGCCGTTGCTTGCTGGTGGTATCTATTCTAACCAGTTACCTGGTTATTATAGTAGCATAACCGAGGTTTAGTGTTAACCGCGTGGCGTGACTTCAACGTAAAAACTAGTCCAGTCCAACCCTTGTAGGAACCGGTCATCGACGCAGATCATCTATATTGGTAACCTACAATTCAATTACTTAATAGTGAAATAAAGAATTTTTCTATTCCTTTCACTAACCGTTGGTAAACATGAGCCGATAAAATGAGAGTGACATCTAGTGGCCGATTTTTATTATTCATATATTTGGCGGTTCCTTGTAGCTGATAAGTATATAACGCGAATGTCAGCATTAAATAACTTACGAAGTAATTATGATCATACTTAGGAAATACCAAAATGTTTTTTTAATAAGTGACACATACATTTCATCGTGAAAAGTTATGAATGAACACTGAAGTGACCACAAAATGTTTTCGACCTGGCTCAGAAGCTAAGCCATATTTGTACTTAATATTAAGGAACTGATACCACCCTCTCTCGGGGTAAAATGTGATCTAAGATCGAAATGGGTTAGCGAAACCCATCTTTTCAACCTTCTCCATGAGAAGTATGTACAGTACTCTGGTGAGTATCTGAACAGGCCACATAACAGTAGACTGGTGTGTCCTCATAAGTTTCCAGGATTATGGTAAGATGTTATCAAATCTTGGCAACATTTCTGAGCGCAAGGATTTCAATTTACTTGATGCTAACTCGAACGTTAGTCGAATATTCACTAGACCTTCAACTACTGCTAGTTTTGAGCAGTGTTCCGTACTTGCGAGCTCCTGGTATGGCGAGTAACAGTTAACTCGATTGCGAATGATATATGAACATTTTATGATTATGTATTTACAAATTATTAAGTATCGTGGATGCCGGATTGTACAGTAAGGTAAATACTTTCATAAAGTAAGTCAGTGATGTTTTGTTGTTGAATACAACACAGTACAAATTACACAAATCTGACTATCAGTCTAACTGTAAACAAGTAATATTAAATATGATGTATTCCTGAATAAGTTCGATTCATTTAAGAAGTGGAATAAATCCTTATCACCAATCTTCGAGTCTTTTCTCTTGTGTTCAAGTTACCGCGTAGATTCAGCCTGGGGTTATAGGCGCTGCTAGGAAGTCGAACCAAGCATTCATTTAGCATGACTTATCATCGTCACTTTTCTGATTTTGTTTCATCTTACAATCATATTTTCATTTACATTGTCGCTGCTGAGTAGGACGGCTGGTAGATACTTGAACCTAAGATACCATGCAATACCAGTTACACTTGTCATCGACGTTAACTGCTCAATAATAACACTAAATTATTTGACAGTGAATTGCTGATCAGCTCAAGAGAGATACATTGTTGCGTCAGCAGACTGAATTGCTAACAATCCCATTTGATAGAACAAAGTAATGAATAGAGTTTATGCTTTTGATTTTTATCACTCGAACAGACGTTTTATTCATCAACGATTAGCGTATGAGAGCTGAGCCAATGGAATTCACACGGGGCTACACAAGATCAAATAGCGTCAGTATGCCGGCTCCACCAATACATATGTATTGTCACGGTAAACTTTTTGGCCCGCAACTTCCTTCTGATACCACCGGAATATATGAGTTAGTATTAGCTCTTTATAACACAATCATAAGTCATCAACGTTCATTTCCGTCACTCACATTATCCATCGTAGGTCACTTTTGTACACATATCTGTTGGTAATGTAGTGAACAACTCATAATACACCTCATACAATCGGGAGTTTAACAGTATGAACAAAGGCCCAGGACTTATGCCATAAGGCTGAGTTGTCGGAATTATTGACATTTGTTTAGCCGTATCAAAACTAATTCTTCTGGCGCCGATATCTGATGCTTGGTTGCATTGGTTCTTACCACATCTCTGTTGACTAATTACTTAACGCAGACGATATCTGAATCAGAGAACCGTGGGAGCACTTAATTCAAAGATAACCATGTCTCATATTATTGTCAATAGCCCGTAAACCTTTCATAATCCGACTGATGAAAACAACCGTTGTTCTGTGTACATAGTTCAGTTCTCGGGGCTATTTATCTCACTGTGAATTAATGAAGTCCATGAAACCGAATGGCAATGTGACTATTGGATGTCAATTTGTCCCCAGCTCCAGTGTATTTTTCCAAAATCTATGAAAAGCATGCTACTAATCATCATGACAGGACGAGTCAGCATAGAAAATTATGTGATATCTGTGTACGATCTTATAGGTTAGGCAGTTGTATCATGGCAAGTCCACAGTACTGAATTAGGAATATTATTCTGGTAGCATAGAAAAATGCCACAAATACTTGCCCAGTCATAAATCTTACAAGGTAAAATAGTATCCAATATCCAGGCGATCAATATTTGTCTAACGTCGATATTCATAACTAGTGAAGTTCGGACGTACTCATTTCTACTCGCTAGGCTGTCTTAATACTGTTGTGGTATATTTTGACTGTTCAGCTAAAGAACTTGGAGTAGAACAGCAAAACGTAGCAGACGCCTTTTTTAAACTGGTAAATTTTAAAGCAAAATTGACTGTTGGGTTGTAATCCGGGGGAATAAAAACTATGTCATTACCGAATTGTCTGGCTAATACAATCAGCCTCGTCTCACATTTTGCTCGCCATCATTTAGGCAGATCAACATCCAGCGCTGCAGAAACTGTCAGCTAACGACCAGTTTCAATCACCTGTTTACCGTTGACATAGAAATAAGCTAACTATTCGTCATAAGTGCTATATGGCGCACAGAAATTCAACCTCGTGCTGATACTGTGCTGAACCACTTCAGTTGTTAACGTCCAGAAAAAAAACAAAACGTTGATTGTCAATGTCGGTGGCTAATGACACTTTATCCTGGAATTTGCTTGCCGACATAGATCCACGAAAACTTTGAGAGATTGGTAGGAGAATCATCCAACGAAATTCAAACCAGCTAGCCATAAGGGATCCATATTAAAAGTGTGAAAGAAAGTAATCCGGGAGACTGTCTCTATTCTATGTCAGTGAACTAGAATTTTCGTCACCGATATCAATATGAGGCGGATCGGCATAGGATTCTGATTTTCGGCACTTCATGGCGACCTCAACATCATGCCGAGCTGGTACAGATCATGATTATTGTCAAGCAGTACATCTGTGTGTGTATGTGTGCACGGGTAATATCCAGGTGTATTTATTTTCTTGTAAACATAATTTTTGATACAATGGTGTAACAAATACATATGCGCCGCTGAATAACAAGGAGGTAGTGGAGTGATACATAATGTAAAGTGCGTATAATAAAAAAACCGTGAACAGAAATTAGTGCACGATAGTTAAGTCATGACAGCGATAATAAAAATACGAGTATAAAACCAACCCTAGATTGGAGAAGTAAACTTTGCTTTTATGAAGAAATTAAAAGTAAGTTACAGCAGGACAGCCACCGGCTTCTATTACGAGCCATATCTGATAACGTCTCAAGCCACAGTGTTGCGTCATCCCTTGGGCTCCAACCAGGGATTTGTGAAGAACCAAGAGAAGCAAGGCCTGTACGGTTTTCTTTCATACCACGACACCATGTCATACTGAACACCCCTTCACCTTTTCCATGACGTGGAAATCTTCAGAACGACATTCGTAAAACATATCCAAGCCAATGAAGTCAATGTTTCAAGACAGTGGCACCAACCAAATTATCGTCTCTGTGCTCAAACACACGATGTCGAACCTCTACATTACTAACATGGTGTTGCCACTCGATGTCAGCAATCCTTCGGCAACAGCAATGGTCAAAAACAGAGAGTCATTCAACTACATCAGGTTTTACAAGCATAGAGCAAAACTGCCCACACCGACACGCTGTAAATCTTACTTTTTTACGGACAGATTAACATCAGTAAAGCGCTAAACATGGTCCAGATTGGCATAAACCACTCAGGCGTTTATTAGACGTGAATTGATCTCATCGCTCACGCCACCACAAGTACTTACGCAGCTTCCCAGACACACGAAATTCTCGACTACTTCTATCTGCTCACTATCTAGGATGAGTGCAGGATTAGAATTCTGTCAGTTTTGCAAAAGTGTGTAGTGGCATTGAACAATAACCGCACAATCCACAAAGCTGAACACGAGACTACTCAGAAAATAGATATTCAATATTTAACGCGGAGAAATACCGAACGATGGAGAAGGCGCGAATAAGGAATTGAATGGATTGGAGTTGATCGGATGGCATGGCTCGACCATGCAGGCGTGGTCCATCTGAATTTTACCTTATATCTTCTATTCATATTAAATATATTGTTCTTCCTCTAGCCTAACCTTGTTCTAAACCATGTATTGGTAATTGATGCGATACAGTGAGTTGGTGTAGTCGATGGTGTGACTTCCACGTAAGATCTTATAGATTAGGCAGTTATATCATGACAAATCTACAAATTTAGGATTAGGTCTATTATAAGAGCAGTGCTAATATCATAGTAGACCATAGTTCTACAT